CAGCGCTGCAACTTTGATAAGCACGTGTGCGTGCGTGTGAAGCAAACACAACTTGTTGTTGTGGTGGGTGTGCGCCTTGCTCGACGATTGTTGGAAATCATTGGAGAATCTTCACAACTCAATGACGCGACACAACAACAACAACAACAACAACAACAACACCCCCCTCGTCACCTCCAACAACAGCAACACAGCCAGGATGCTCCAAAGAGTTGGCGTGGTTGCGCTGTGCGCCATTGTGCTGGCGACAGCACAGACTGGTGGGTCAGACGGAGCTTATGGGAGGTTGAGCCGTGCAATATCAGCACCACTCGCAGCACACCCAACCATTGCAACAGCAACAGCACACGCAACACAGCATCTGCAAAGCCTCTTCACTCTCGCCCTCACTCACTCACTCACTCACTCACTCACTCACTCACACATACACAGGCGTGCAAGCTGCTCCAACACCGACGACATCGAGCCCATGCACTCCCTCATCATGCATCATCGAATGGCAAACAAACGGCGACGGCGTCACTCAGTACCAGGTATGCACGCGCGACTGCTCACATGTGTGCGTTCGTATGTGCGCGTGCGTATACTCACATGCCATGCGCGTTTTGAGTGTGCGTGCGTCCATGTCTGTGTGTATGTATGTCTGTGTGTCTGTGACCCTTGGCGCTGGCTGTGGATGCTTGTGGCACGTGCTTCGGCTCTGCTGGCTTTGACCAAACGGCAGCCCCTCAATCCACACCGTGGAGGACTCACGAAACACCACTACACGCCTTCCTTCTCGCCCTGGGTTGTCAACGTGCTGCACGCAGCTCATGCTGCAGGACGACAGCGGGACCTTCCAGGGAGTGGGGTCCCCGAGCACAGACTCTTTCATCCGCATCGACCCACTCATGTCGCTTGCAGGGTGCACAAACCTCACCGCCCGCATTGAGATCACACTCAACTCGGATTCGGAACAAGGGAACGTGACCATCATCCCAGTGGAGGCCACAGGTACCGTGCCCCTGCGCCCGTATCTGCGTCTGTGTTTTGTCTGTACCTGTGTTTGCCCTCGCGTATCTGCGATGGTACTTGCTTGCATGCCCTCAATGTCGCCTTTGCTGCGTGCTGTTGCTGCAACTAGGACCGCCTCCATCACCCGAGCCGCCTGTTGTCAGTGTGGTATGTACATGCACGCCATTTGCACCTGTAATGATGCCGTCATGCAGTGCACGCTGGCGCGGTGGCCCTTGTCATTGATTTTCTCACGTCACACACACATACACACATTCACACACACACACACACACATTTTCACACATTCACACACACACACGCACACACCACGCATTCACAACTGCGTCAACCTTGCAATGCAGCTGAGCTCGGACCGCATCAACGTGTCGTTTTCGCTGACGGGCCTCCAGTCCACATCGCATTGGGTGCACACGTACGCGCTCACGCTCAAGGTCCGCTGTTCTGCTGCACCGTGGGTGCGGTGGCTGTGGCTGTGGTTGTGGCTGTGGCTGTCATGTTTGCATTGGCTCGCACAGCGTGCACACGTGACACTTTCAGATTTGATGTGATTAAATACCGCACACATACATACGCACACACACACACACACGCACACACACACACACACACACACACACACACACACACACACGTGGCGTGTGCAGAAGCGAGATTCCACGGGAGCGGGGATGACGGTGACGTTCACGCCATCGTATCCACCGGCAGCGGACAGCATCGCATATGCGCACGTGTTCACGTCGCTGGAGGAGAACACCATGTATGATGTGAGTACACACACCCACGCACACACACATACACACACACACATACACACATACACACACACACACACAAACCACACACTAAACTGTGCGTGTGCGTGTGCAGGCGAGTGTGCGGGCGGTGAGCTGTGCCGGAACAGCGACGAGCGCCATTGTTTCGCGACGAACGAGCAAGAAGATTGTCATCGACGGTCTGTTTTTTTTTTTTTTTGTGTGTGTGTGTGTACGTTAGCTTGCTTGTTTGTTTGTTTGTGTGTGTGTGTTAGCTTGTTTGTTTGTCCACACGGTCGGCGTTGGTGTGGCGTTGACACGGCCTGTGCAAGTCGCGTGTTGTGAGCTCACCACCTGCGGCTCCATCGTTCCTTTGCCATTGCTCGCTGCAGGAAACGCGAACGACGTCGTGTACGTGTACGCCAAGTTCAATATCACAGGTCTGCAGTTGTTGACATGCTGGGTGTCATTGGATGGATTGTTCTGTTTGTTGATCGTGTCGCTTTATGCAGTGGCTAATAGGCTCCTCGACTTGACTCACACAACTAGATCGCGCAATCAACCTCTCCCCTTTTCCCTGTCTGTCGTTCTGTCCGCCTGCCTCGGCCCCACACACCCTACACGCCTGCTCACACACACACACACACTCACACACACGCTCTCTCTCTCACTCACACACACTCACACACACGCTCTCTCTCACTCACTCACACACACACACACACTCACAC